TGAGGGTCAAAAACATTTTCCTAACATATGTGAGTTGACATGTCTCAATTTTTTTTTGAGTATAGTAGAAAATAAACAAGGCTAGGCTCTTTTTCTAGAGAGCCCTATCATATCAGCTACCAGGTAGCTTCTAATCTCAGTTGGTGGTTCGTTAACCACCAGGATTTCTTCAGGCTGCGTAGCTCCAAGTTTAGCCAAAACATCAGCATACAAATTCCTTTCCTTGAAGGCATGTTGTATGGTGCATTCACATCTCTTAAAGATAATCTTGGCATCTTCCAACAACCCTTTGAATGGAAATTTATCAGCTGTATCTTCTTCTATCAATTGCAGCATCTATTGTGCATTAGTTTCCATGATCACCCCATGCATCCCTTTTTGAAGTATTACTGTTAGTTCCTTGTAAAAAGCCCATAGCTCTGCCTCCAAACTTGTGCCACTTTCAATCTTGCCATAGTAACCACACACCCAGCTGCCTCTTTCATCTTTGAAGATTCCTCCAAAGCCTCCTCCACCTCCTAACCTTCTGTTGCCATCGCCACTTAGTTTGATTTTCCCTGCAAATGGTAAACCCAGTTAATCAATCCAAGTGCATGCCTCTGATTAATAATAGAAACTTTAAAAGTCAAGTCAATATTTCTAAAATAATCAATAATGAATTTGATATTGTCATGACAGTTAGGTGATAAGTTATCAAAAACAGATGAGTTCCTGTTTTTCCAAAGTTTCCATAAAGCCACAATGAACACAGAGGACCATGTGGCATGATCATTAAAATGATTCTTGTTTTTTGAGTTTGAAAATAGCCATTCTTGCCAAGTCTTCCTGTTCAATAGCCATTCTCACCACATGTCTCATTCATTTATTATTTTTACTACGTGATTGGTTTGGAGTATCATATAGCTATGATACATTTTTTACTACGTGATTGGTTTGAAATATCATATAAGCAATGATACATGTCCTTCGTGATAATTAAATAATTACTCACACTAATGATAGCTTTGAGAGGTTCCTGGGTGGTTAACTTAACACCACTAGATACTTATCAAGTTATCTCCTTTTAACTTAACAAAAAGTACTGAATTCTATAATTTCAACGAATCATATTAAGTTATGGCACCATGTGACAATACCCCAAAAGACCACTACATAATTTTTTGCCATAGGCACTCCCTATCATATATATATATATATATATATATATTTTTTTTTTTATTTTTTTTTTTATACATGGTGCTCCGTATCATATAATTTTTTTAATATATATTTTAGATATTTGTACCAGTGTTTGCTACAGTTTTCAGCTACAATTTATGAGGCAGGAAAATTTGAAGTTCAAAAAAAATTAATTATTAAAAAATAAGAAAAAAATAGACTTTTAATTTTTATTTTGTTGTTATCAGTTTTCAATTTACTAAAAGCTAAACAGGCCGCTATTAGATTTAGGTGCTATTTGGGAATTTTTTTTTTTTAATGATTTTTTAGTTTTTTAGTGAGAAAATTACATGTTAGCGGTGTTTAAAAAAATTAATTACAAAATTATGAAAAAAGTTTAGGAATTTGCATTTTAATGTTTATAAGGTTTATCATTGATTTGAAAATATTTTTTAAATATACGCTTAGATGTAATCGCTATTTTAAATATGATTTTAGTTAATCTTTTATCTTTAAATTCATATCCACTCAGTCATCTTAACAAATTATGGTATGACATATTTAGATGAAAGTCATAGAACATTCTACAATTTACTTTGTGTTAATTTTTTTTTAAGAGGTGTATTAAACCACAACTTTAATTTGAATTTGTATTTTGAACATAAATTAAAAATAATTTGAAATTAAAAAAATTAATCTAAAATGATTTTGATTAAAACTCGTTTTACTTGGTTAAACAATTGTGAAGATAAGGTCAAGGGATCTTGCCATTCCTCAATCAATATGAATAATTCTTCAGGCATTTGTCTTCTTCTTCAAAATTTTATATTTTATATTTTATATTTTTCTATTCTTTATCAAGCTCGCCAATTGGGTTGCCTCCCACTGACCGACGGATCGGTTGATTTTTTAATTTTCTATAAAAATATGTTTAAAAAAATAGTGTTAGGTTTCATTTGACCAGAGTTAAATTGGTTAAATATGCACACAAAAAAAACATATGTATATATATATATATACTAAATAAGTTAATAAAACAAAAAATTATATCTAAATTATAATCATTTCACTTTTTATCTTACAATTATCACTTCTAAATCAAAAAAATCAAAATTTTTTTTTCCAAATAGAACTAATTTAGTCAAGTTAAATTAATCAAAAAATAAAAAAAGTCAGTCTAAATTAAATCTCCCCAAATGGAGGCAGAGTGATGTGATTGGGTGTTTTGACTTTTTGGCTAAAAGCCAACACCCTAAACAGGATCTCAAGCTTAGGGAGTGTTTTTTTTTTGATCAAAAGCTTAGGGAGTGTTTGATAATATGATTGAGTACTTAAAACTGAATATATTAAGTGATAATCAATTACATCTATTTGATAACCACAATTGTTATCACTTAAAAATTTAAATGCCTCTTAAAATGTAGGTTAAAACTTAAGAAAATTTTAAATCATATGAAACTTGCTTAATTCTGACTGTATTTATAAATACTAAATATAAGTATCAGTATATACTATTATAAATTCACTACCACTACCACCATCATGCCCTCGCCGCCACGATTGCTGTCGTCGTCGCCGCCTCTACCACTATGCTGCCACCGTCACCACCACCATGACAATCACTACCGCTACCGCTACCATTACCATTACCATTACCATTACCGCCACCACCATTGCCACCGCCGTAGCCACCGTTGTCATTGTCATTGCCACTTCCGCCACCACCACCACAATCATCATACCATCACCACCACCAGAATCACAATATAAAAATTAAAATATATAATTTGAAAATAATAAATTTTAAATTTTACTCTATACATATCAAACTATTTATTTTTAGTTCAGTACTTAAATTTTTATCAAATAATATTTAAACTCAATAAATTCAACATTCAATTTTTAATTTTCAACTTTATTAAACAATACTTGAGTCCAAATCTTATCATAAGACATAGAACTAAAGTCGTAAAATATAAGTAGAGTAATTTACCTAAAAACTCTATCTTTTATAACGGATTGATGTGTTTTCAAAATTGTTTTATTTAGTTAGTTTTGTATTTGTAAACTTGTTACAAATCTTTATTTAGGTCGGGGCAAATTACCTTTGGGTAAAACTGATAGCTTGAACTGCCTCTCAATTCTGATAGATTTTGGGAACTTGGTTTTTAGCCACTTTTATAGATTTGTAACAAAAGTCAAAAGTTGGCTTTTTTGTATTTTTTTTTCATTTGGAAAGTTAGTTTTTAGTCACTGATGAAATTATAATTCTACCCCTCATGGTCAAAATGTGTTACATGAGTGAAGTTGTAAATATTTTAAATTGAATGAGGGTAGTTTGGTCATTTTATTGTGGTTTGACATCATAAACAAATATTAATAAAAAAAAAGCCAAAAGTAATTTTTTACCAACTTCCCAAATCATTTGTCTAAAAAAGTCAAAAGCTTGATTAAAAGTCAAAAAGTCACTTTTTACCATCTTCTTAAAATAGACCTATATATTCATTCGGGAAAGTGTTATTTTTTTGAAATATTTGTAAGGATTTATTTATCAAATGACATGATATTAGTATTTTTAAAAATAAAATATATCTTAAATGTTAAAATGATAAACTCACAACTCTCACATCTCTTTTAATTTTTTTATTGTATATTATTATCTTTAATAATAGTTAAATATTTACATAGTAAAAGTAAATAAATAAAATTACCACACAGTAGTGATCTCATAAAATTATTATTAATATATATACATATATAAAAATTTTGTTACTGATTTAAATTAAATTTTAAAATATCAATTGAATTATTATTTTCTTAATGAAAAAATTACAAAATATAACCAAATTGAGTATGAATGATACAATCACATTCTATGGATGTGTTCGAAATGTATCTACCACAATACGCACTAAGCTGTGGATGGAAGAGGTTCCCTCTTCTCTTGATCATCTAGTTTTGTTCGCTTTGTTCTTCTATGGTCTTTCTTTTGCTTTTAGCAGTTTTACCATCTATATATTAAATAAAATAAAAAAAAGAAAACATAGCACCGAACTCATCCAAGATTTTAGAACCGTTGATTTGACCGACGATCATCTGTGAACACCACATGGTCCCCAAATCAGATCGAAATTTAAAACAAATTGGGACCCATAAAAACCCATCACACGACGCAAACAACAGTACTTACGATCGTCCGCGTGGGTTCCACTGGGCCACAAAGTGGTATAGTGCGCACCCCCCGCACTATAGCCTATTAGTGCTGTTTGGTGGAGCTGTTAAAACAGATTATACATTATAATTTAATAGATTATACATTATGACTTTTAATTAACAAATTATAGATTATAACTTAACAGATTATAGATTATGACTTTAATTAGAAACTGTTAATCTGTTTGGTATAGCTGTTAGATTATAGATTTAAGTTGTTGAGTAGTGTTTGTTAAATAAGCTGTGAAGTAGCTTTTTCAATTAATTTTTATTTTTTATTATTCACTATTTGTATACATTTTTCATAAAAAATAATAATAATATTTTATAGTCTATTTGGATTTTTTTTATTTTTAAAAAAATAAAAAATAAAAAAAATCTAAGAGTATAATCGTGAATTAACATGTCCACAGCAGAAACTGATAATCAGAAGCAAGAGGTAAACAGCTTATCAGAATCAACTTTTTTAACTTAAAATAAGCTGTTAGAATCAGAAACTGTTTGAAATAAGTTTAACCAAAAAATTCAAAATAATTTTTTAAAAGACAAAAATCATAAATTAGTTCAAAAAAAACCCACCAAACACCCCCATCGTCCCTCGTTCAACTCTCATTCTTAAATGAAAGAACCAAGATTCACACGTTGCACGATACTAGTAAATGTTTTTTTTAGAGAGAGAGGGAGAGACTCGTTTCTTCGATCTATATCAGAGCTCTCTATCCCCCAGCAAAACTCGTTGCTTTTTGGGAGAGACAAGATATGATATTCAAGTCACCGAACACAAGATCGAGCTTTTTTAGGGTTTTCTCAGTCTCTCATTTTTACTCTCTCTAACTTCTCATTGTACACTCTCGGAGAGCTTCGAGGTCGAAGGAAGGGAGATCTTCAATCTGAATAGGTATGAGATTCAAAATTGAGCACTTTGTTGATAAGATCTGATTTTTCCAACTTCTCTGCAATTTTTTGTTTCAAAGTTGGAGTTTTATGCTGTTTGATTTCTGGATTTTATGTTATTAGTTACAAATCGGTTGTTCTGATTCGATCTTCATCACAATTACAGCGAACTTCGAGTTTGATCTTCAGATTTAGCATTCACAAGCTTACATTAGCTGTTCCAAGTTCTTTGTTTTTGTTTCTTCTGTTGTCGTTAAATTTTGAAAATTAAAACTATCACTCACTTTCGACTGCCTTATTTGCGTCCTATGAAGCACGGCTACTTCAAAGAGCATGCTGTATCCATACCGGATACTTACTGGCGTATGGTACCTCTCGTATGGTACTTCTGCATACGAACTGGTATTGGTACACGTAGTTAATTTTTGATGTAATCAGACGGACCTACTATATACCAAGCTGTAAGTTGAAATTTTTTTCTTCTACATGAATAAAACTCATTTTTTATTTTTAGTTATGCTTAGCGCGTTTTTAAAATTAAACTATGGTTTGTAAGTTATTTAACATTTAATTTTGATTTCTACCCTTACTTTTGACATTAAATATTAATTGTAGGTCAAATGTTAACCAATTAAATTATTTAATTAATTTTTGTATTACTTTTGTTTCTTCTGTTGTCGTTAAATTTTGAAAATTAAAACTATCACTCACTTTCGACTGCCTTATTTGCGTCCTATGAAGCACGGCTATTTCAAAGAGCATGCTGTATCCATACCGGATACTTACTGGCGTATGGTACCTCGTATGCTACTTCTGCATACGAACTGGCATTGGTACACGTAGTTAATTTTTGATGTACTCAGACGGACCTACTATATACCAAGCTGTAAGTTGAAATTTTTTTCTTCTACATGAATAAAACTCATTTTTTATTTTTAGTTATGCTTAGCGCGTTTTTAAAATTAAACTATGGTTTGTAAGTTATTTAACATTTAATTTTGATTTCTACCCTTACTTTTGACATTAAATATTAATTGTAGGTCAAATGTTAACCAATTAAATTATTTAATTAATTTTTGTATTACCCTAAATTAAAAATAAATATTTTTTAACAAATGTACCAAGCACACCCATACCCTACTTTTTTTTGGATTTTACCGTCATATCGTCATATTGTACCCGTACCCGTACCCGTGCTTCATAATTTGCGTTGTAGTAGCAATTTTGGACTAAAAACGAATCATTATCTTTGATGCACCATGTTTTACTCTGATAACTTGGTGGCAAGTTCTGATTTTTTGTGCTTTACTAATCTGGGTTTCAATGGATTATGAATTCGTCAATTTTTAATGTTCGAATGGTCCGTTTATTTGTACATTCAACTTAACATCCAAATTATTAGTAGTTAGTTTGTAATCTTTGAAATTCAGCTATAAATTGGGTTGGTATATGCCATTTTGGGTCTTTTTCACAAGGAGTCATCTATTTTGATTTCAAACTAGTTAAATGTTCAATGAACAAAGAAAGAAAGAACAAAAACGACTGAACTCCTGGATTTACGGGGAGCTTCTATTTGCACACCACAAAACTTCTCTGCCATTTTTCATCCAAATATCAAAAATCAATTGTTCAGATCAGTTCAGTATTTGATATATGAACAATTGATTTTTGTTAGAACAAATGGTGCCAATTGAGAAAAGGGTTTGTGTGCAAATAGAAGCTTCCGGATTTGCTATATTTATGACTATTAATTTGGACACAAATGGACATGTATCCTGTGGTGTTTTTATTTGCTTTCTGTTTCTAATTGTTTAATAATATTAATTGGAAATTGTTTCAGGTGCATTATGGCACCAAAGATAAATGCGGGTGACAGTAGGACTAGGAGTTCTGTATCTATTTTTATAGTAGTTGGTTTGTGCTGTTTCTTCTATTTACTGGGAGCATGGCAAAGAAGTGGGTTTGGAAAGGGAGACAGTATGGCTCTGGAGATGACGAAGAGCGGATCAGATTGCACTATCCTTCCTAATCTGAATTTTGAGACCCAACACGGTGGAGCTGGTGTTGTTGTTGATTCTGAATCGAAAGTTGAAGTCTTTAAGCCGTGCAGCTCCCGTTATACTGATTATACACCCTGCCAAGATCAAAGGCGTGCCATGACCTTTCCAAGGGATAACATGATCTACCGAGAACGGCATTGTCCTGCTGAGAATGAGAAGTTACATTGCCTTATTCCAGCACCTAAAGGATATGTGACCCCATTTCCATGGCCTAAGAGTCGTGATTATGTACCGTATGCCAATGCACCATATAAGAGCTTGACAGTTGAGAAGGCTATTCAGAACTGGATTCAATACGAGGGCAATGTATTTAGGTTCCCAGGTGGTGGAACACAGTTTCCACAAGGGGCAGATACATATATTGATCAGCTTGCTTCTGTAATACCAATTAAAGATGGGACTGTTAGAACTGCATTGGACACTGGTTGTGGGGTATGTTTGAGTTTGTCAAACCTCTGCAAATTATGTTCATCATTCCTTGACTTGCATTTATATTTTTCTTCAGAGAGATTATTATATTGATGTTTCCCCTTTTTCTTGGGGGATCTTTATATTTAATCCTTAAAAAATGGTTTATTTTCATCAGGTTGCTAGCTGGGGTGCCTACCTTTGGAAGAGAAATGTTATAGCCATGTCATTTGCACCAAGAGACTCACATGAAGCACAGGTTCAGTTTGCTCTTGAAAGGGGAGTGCCTGCTGTTATTGGTGTTCTTGGATCAATAAAAATGCCATATCCCTCAGCAGCCTTTGACATGGCTCACTGTTCTCGTTGCTTAATTCCATGGGGAGTCAACGGTGAGGATTATATATTGAAATAAAGTTTAATGTCTAAGGGGTATTGGATCAAAAACCCATGTACCTTTCATGTTCTGTCTTTGTTGTTGGAAATTACATTTTATGATGTTAGCAATATGTGTGATTGTATTTCTGGACGATTTTCTATGCAGATGGAATGTACATGATGGAAGTTGATCGCGTTCTTAGACCTGGTGGCTACTGGGTGCTTTCTGGTCCTCCAATTAATTGGAAACATAACTACAAGTCATGGCAGCGTCCCAAGGAGGAACTCCAGGAGGAACAAAGGAAGATTGAGGAGATTGCCAAACTTCTATGCTGGGAGAAGAAGTCTGAGAAAGGTGAGACTGCTATATGGCAGAAGAGAGTAAATGCTGATTCATGTCGTCGAACAGAAGATGATTCTGAAGCCACATTTTGCAAAACAGCTGAAGCAGATGATGTCTGGTATGATGTCGTAGATTCTGAAGATATTTGGAGTAGTTGATTTTTATTTATTTTTTTCCTTTTAATCTAGTTTTAATGATCATGGATTGCATATTTTATTTTATTCATTTTATTTAAAAATGATTTTATTCAATGTTGTTCTGAGATTTTTGTAAAATTTTTCCTTCTATTGCACCGTATCAGTATTCAATAATCACTATGTGAATATTATTCTTGAGCCATAAAAGTTGGTGAATATAGTTGTTGTCTCTTCCCTCTTAACTGAAATAAGAGGGCATTTGGAATTCGTTTTGGAGTTTTCCTTGGATTGCCTGTAGTGTTTATTAGGGCAACTTCTTAATCAATCTTCGCACTTGATCTTTATAAATCTTATTGCAGAGTACTGTATTTTAATAATGTTTAGGGGTTAGAGCAGCTTATCTATAAACTGTGAATGTTAAAAAGTGGATAATCTGCCAGACCTGCTTTAGTTATAAACGGTGGAAGTTGTCTTAGGGGTGCAGACAGGCTGTTCCATCATCTAGAATATGATTTAATTTTAATCAGGCCTCAGGCTAGGTCTATACTATATGTGACAAACTTTGAAACCGACCTTAGCTTAAATAGTTATTTGTTCTCTCTTTCTTGACTGAAGTTGCATTTTTGTGGAAAGAAAAAAGTCAGTGTACCTAATCTCCTCTGTACTTCTTTTTGGTTATTATTAGGTACAAGAAAATTGAGAAATGCATTACTCCATATGCTAACAGAGATGGTGGGGAACTCAAGCCATTTCCGGAAAGGCTTAATGCTGTCCCTCCCAGAATTTCTAGTGGATCTGTTCCTGGAGTCTCTGTTGATGCATACCTGGAGGACAATAAAATATGGAAGAAGCATGTAAACGTGTACAAGAAAATTATCAAAATTATTGACTCAGGAAGGTATCGCAATATTATGGATATGAATGCTGGATTGGGAGGTTTTGCTGCAGCACTCAGTTCTCCCAAATTGTGGGTTATGAATGTTGTGCCCACTATAGCGGAGAAAAATACCCTGGGGGTTGTGTATGAGCGTGGATTGATTGGCATCTACCATGACTGGTTTGACTTCTAAACTTTTTTATTTCAAATATTGCAACATCTTCCCATGTCTAGTTTTATTATGGGATTATTTTGGGAATTCTTGGATAATCGTGAATAAAGTTCTACAGAGTACATGCTTGACGTGTTGAATGCAGAGGACCATTAAGTGTTAGTTTTTGCTTGCAAAATTAAACTTGATATATATATATATATATATAGAGAGAGAGAGAGAGAGAGAGAGAGATTAATTTGGAACATTTTGTTTTACTAAATATTGTGGATTATTGTTAGAAAAATGGCCCAATAAGATGATTTATGTATTAGACCATGATAATTTTTGTCGTGTCAATCTTTTGTAAGGGTCCCTTCTGTGTTGAAGTGGATCATGCATCATCATGTTTGTTAGGGAGTGGACTTAAAGTTCATGGCCAAATTTGGCACAAGGATGGTAATTATTTTCTGTAGTAATAATTCAGAATTCATAAGGGTGTTGCAAATTACTGGAATTAGATAATAAAATAAAAAAAGATACTAGATTTGATAACTATTGTTTCTTGTGCTGGATGATGAAGAAGATGAATGGGTAAAGGAAATAACAAATCAGAACATAACAAGACATGATTTACCTATGGTAGTTCTGTCAACCCTTGTATGCATACAAAAAGGGTGGTTCCTTAGTCATGCTTCCGTCTTGATCTACTTATTAAGGGCTTGGGTTGGCAAATTTTTAATTTGTTTACTTGTTGATGTGAGAAGCTCATTGTTAGTTGGAGAAATTTATTAATTTGTTTACTTCTTGATGTGAGAAGCTCATTGTTAGTTGGAGAAACTTATTTGTTTAGCTTAAAGTTCATCATTAACTGCTTCATTCATTTCTTTCTTTTGTAACCCTAGTGAAGGTACAAAGGTAGATAACATTTTCACTTGGTATAACCTTCTGTGTTCAGGTGTGAAGGTTTCTCCACATATCCAAGGACATATGACCTCATTCATGCCAATGGGCTTTTCAGTTTGTACAATGACAAGTGAGTATTTCTTTACTATTGCGCCTTGAATTTTTGGTTGAATAGATATCAAGTCTTTTTTAATATGATTCTGCCCTTCGTTGTGTGGAAAATTCTAGTTATAGTGTGCATTTGATGCATGTTGCTATTTCTCTATCGCCATGGGTCCAATAATGTGAATTCTCATGTTTATTTTGTGCTAATGCAACTGATGGTCCAGTTTCATATTTCAGATCCAGCTCTTTTTTCTTTTTTTCCTTTTAAAAAAATAATAATCATATAATTTGGAAATTATGGTCTATGCCATGTTTTGTTTCTGTTGTTGCCCCTTCAACTCATGTATATTGTCTTCTTAAAGTTGGGAAAGATTACAAACTAACATATATTCTTATCAAATCAATAAAGATGCAATTTTGAAGACATTCTTTTGGAGATGGATCGAATTTTGCGACCAGAGGGTGCAGTGATAATACGCGATGAAGTCGATGTGCTTATCAAGGTAAAGAAGATAGTAGGAGGTATGAGGTGGGATACTAAATTGATGGATCACGAGGACGGCCCACTTGTTCCCGAGAAGATACTAGTTGCTGTAAAACAGTACTGGGTTACTGGAGAAAATAACTCCACATCCTCGCTTTGAAGGCTACAATAGGACAAGATTGATCTCTGGCGCGAAGGCGTGATCCCCTGAGAGGAAATGCATGAACTATTTATTCATTTCACCAAGATCATTTTTTGGTGATGTTTTACTTCTGGGAGGGGGTTCCACTTTATATGTTTGATCGACGGTTGATTCGTCGCCTCTGTTCATTTGTCGTGAGTTACAAATGACAAAGCTACGCTTGTACGTTTTATGCTCTATTTATTTGATTTTTGTATCCTTTGTAGCATTTTTATTATATTGCAAAATGTTGACTGTTAAAGCCCATGAAAGATATAACTGGTTTCGACAAGGGTTTGTTAAAATCCCATGATTTCACTTGCAATAGTTCTTGTTCTTATTTGCTTTTGGATGGTAAAATTCGTGAGGAGTTTATATATTATGCAGAACCATTTCAGAGCTCTGTTCCAAGTTCAATTTTTACTTGACTTGTGCCTGATTAATGAGGACTAGAAAATCAACGAGCTCGGTTTTGACTAGGGATGGCAATTTGGACCTGGCTCGACGGGGACTCGATCTTGTTATTATTACGGTTTTTTTTTTGGAAAATATCCTCGATGGGCCAGAGATGGTATTCAAAAAATAATTCCCGATAAGTTTTGGGCCGGGGACGGTGATAAATTTTTCCTCCCCGGTCCCGTTTTGTTTCAGCTTCGCTTTTCTCTCCTCTTTGTCTCACTCACCTACCCACTATATATATATATATATATATCTCTCTCTCTCTCTTATCTTAGACTTAGATCTAAGAATCACAACCCTCCTCTCTCTCATCTCAGATCTCTCTCTCTCAACTCAGTACCCTTTCTCCTCTCTTTGCTTCTCGTCTCTTCGCTGTCATGGCCGCATTCTGCCGCTTGATACTGACAACGCAACTAGAGTCTCCATCTTCACCGATCGAGACCTCTCTTCTCTTCGTCATATTCTCTTCGCCTCTTTAACTCCGTCACTGATCGAGACCTCTCTTCTCTCTCCTTCTATTTGTTTTTGTGTGTGTGTGATAATGATGACGACGACGACTCAGATCTGCAGATGTGTGTGCGTGTATGTGTGATGATTATGACTACTCAAATCTGCAGATGTGTGTATGTGTCTCTGTGTGTGTATGTCTCTCTATCGGGGATTTTTCGGGGTCAGGGAAACCCGATCCTCGTTCGGGATAGGGGCAAGGGGGTGATGGGCTTCTCGCTAGGGATCGGGGGCGGAGATGAGGAATTTCATACTGTCAGGGATTGGGGACGGAGAGGGCAATCCCTGGCCCCGCCCCAACTCGTTGCCATTCCTAGTTTTGACTCCCACAAGACCCAACTTTAACTATTTTCTGCGACAAAAAAAAAATAAAAATAAATAAATATATGGTTATTTTGATTATTTATCATCAAATAAATGCCATCATATACATCATTAAGGCCTGATTTGGGATATCCAAAAAAATTCAAAAAGCTAAATAGTTGCTAAAAAAGTTAGGAGTTGTTTGGAATGTCTTAAATAAATGCACTTTTTGTCTTTTTAAACTAAAAAATTGAGGAAAAAAAGATGGATGTTTAGGTTAACTTTTTAATTTTTTATGAAAAAATGTGTATTAAAAAATTGTATAAATTAGTGTGTAGGAAAAATTTTGACAGTGTAGGCTGTACGGTGGCAGTAAGGTTTGCAGAGTGGTGTAACAGGAAATGGTTGCCTCATTTTTGGGCAACCATTTGGATGATGCTCTTTGTCCAGTGGGGGCCACCACGGGTCCTGTTTTGCTAATCGGAACCGTTTGTGTACAACTCGTCGAGTATTACATGTTTGTAAAAAAACACGTTGATTGTAAAAAAACACGTTGATCGGATATCTATAGCTATCTGATCGGATTAGTTTTTTTGTCAACCGTTAACTGTAACACCATCCATTTTTTATACAAAACTGATTTGATCATATAGTTAGCGATATCCGATCAACGTGATTTTTTACAAGCATATAGTACTGGATAAGTTCTACATATTGACGGTTTGGATTATCAAAATGGGACTCATGGTGGGCCTCTACAGGCCCAACATTACTGTCCAACTTAGTGAATATATATATGTAATTTTTTTTTTGTTCCTTTCACGGTACTCAAACATCAATTTAGTACCTGGAAAAGACAAATGTTGGTTTGTATTAAAATATTATGTATATTAATTTTTTGAGAAAATTATCAGAAAGTCCTATTTACCAATCTATTACTTCATTTGGTTCCACATTCATTCTGTTGGATTAGCAAGTCTTGTTTGGCATGTTTTGTGGACAACCAGGTCCCGTTTTAAATTTATGTGATGCGTGTGTGGACGAGTTTGCCCCATTTTTTGTTTTTTCTTTAGAGGTGTATATTGGGATTGAATGCAGATTTTGTGGGATACGTTTGCTGATCCACATTTGGTAATTCGGATCCCATGTTTTGGGGTGTGATAATGTGGGTTTCGGAATCACACCAACACTACGTGAACCCAACAAATGAACAACTTATGTGAACCCAACAATGGAACGACGGCTACACACTGGCAAGAATACTCCTTCTGAGCTTCAAATGGTGCCTGCTGAGCATTCTTAGTTCCATACATCTTCATCACTATCCATGGCCAAGTATGGAGCTCGGACCAAAGCGGTGTCGTTTCTTTTCGACGACCTTATATTTGTCGGTGGAGCTTTGGTGGCTCTTCTAACGGTTTGGGCTCTCTCGTCCTTCATAAACCCTAACACTGGTTCTGGTTTCTCACAGAATGAAATAAAGGCATTGATTTCTTCGAAGAAGCGAGATTGCGCTGGGGATGCGCACAAGGTAAACCTACGCAACGACCCGGATGACCTAACATTCTACGATGACCCAAAACTCAGTTACTCCATAGGAGGGCAGGAGATTAAGAGTTGGGATGAGAAATGGCGGGATTGGCTGAAGCATCACCCGTCGTACGTCGTCGGAGCAGGCGATTGGATTCTGCGTGAACCCAACAAATGGTAGGGTTCACGTTGAAACGTCACAAATGGCAATTGAAAAAAATGGTCAAATTATGAGAAATCTGAAACGGAAATCCGAAACCAGTTCAGTGTGCCTTATTGCTCGTGTTCACGCCACACTTGAAACAACACTTACGACGTAACCCACGTCCCATTCTGCGCGTGCTACATACTTACTAAATTAAAAAAGGTATTAGTGCGCTTTTTCGATCAACATCACACACAAACACCCATTCACCTTCTCCCATACAAACTCACGCCAAATGTCAACCAATAATACTAGCAGTGGCAAAACTGTCAACAAACAAATTAAGGGACCACTCAGTCACCAAGAAAACATTCAAGACCTTATGGATTACAAATCCACAAAATGGGATTTACTAGTCAATTCCCCTAATTTTTTTATATTTTTAATTTGTGAATAGTGATAATTTTTTTGCTTTTTTTTTTTTTGTAACTTTTTGACTTTTTAGATTTTTTCTAACATCCCAAATTAGGCCTTAAAAAGTTATCACTATTCACTAAAAAGTAAATATACCAATAATACTAGCAGTGGCAAAACTGTCAACAAACAAATTAAGGGACCACTCAATCACCAAGAAAACATTCAAGACCTTATGGATTACAAATCCACAAAATGCGATTTACTAGTCAATTCCCCTAATTTTTTTATATTTTTAATTTGTGAATAGTGATGAATTTTTTGCTTTTTTTTTGTAACTTTTTGACTTTTTAGATTTTTTCTAACATCCCAAATTAGGCCTTAAAAAGTTATCACTATTCACTAAAAAGTAAATATAAAAAAATTAATTTTACACAATTATTACAAACAACTCTGACGTCCCACAGACACGAAGCTGAGTTTATTGAAAAAATTGCACAGGCTTGGTGCACAAACAACACGGTGCTGTTTGGCCTATGGGGGCCCATCATGGGTCCCGTTTGATAATATGAACCGTTCAATATGTAGAACTCATTGAGTACTATATGTCTGTAAAAAATCACGTTGATTGGATATTGCTAACTATATAATCAAATTAGTTTTTGTATAAAAAAAGGATGGTGTTATAATTAACGGTTGACAAAAAAAACTAATCCGATCAGATAGCTATCGATATCCGATCAATGTAATTTTTTGCAGGCATATAGTACTCGACGAGTTTTACACATTGAACGGTTCAGATTATCAAAACGGGACCCGTGATGGCCTCCACGGGCCAAACAACACCGTCCAATGCAATGCCCGAAAAGTAGGCAACCATTTCTTATCATCAATTCACTCTGCCCAAACAGACGGCCGTACTACCTACTGTCCTTATGTTCTCCTATACACTAATTTATACAATTTTTTAATACACATTTTTTCGTAAAAAGTCAAAAAATTAACACAAACAACCATTTTTTTTCCTCAACTTTAGTCAAAAAAGTCAAAAAGTGTACTTATTTAGAACACCCCAAATAACCCCTAAAACTTAATTATTGTCATAATGATTTTTTTTTCCTTGTAAATCTAATAAACACATTGAATAATCAGAATAATTTAACATTCAACGAGTGTAAGAAAATATATACCTCCATCACCACAAAAAGAATGTAAACAGTTTGAGCCCTTCCTATATGAGACGATAGGCACACAGGTTCAACAATCAACAATCAACATTGTGATTGTTTTCACAATAAGGTATTCAAACTTCTATTAAATTTTGATACATCAAATATTATCATAATTTAATCTCTAATGAGTGGTAAATTTATGTTTGGTTCTATTTTTCTAAACCCATTTTTTAAATTTTTTTTGAAGTTTTTGTTTGGTTGTTTTGAAAATGGGATAAAGTTTTCAGAATCTTGGTACATTTGGGAGGGAAATTTGACAAATTTTTGGAATGTGACAAATGAAGTGTATAAGCCCATAAAGGCCACGAATCACTATGAACAATCCAAGCCCATCACTTGGAGCCCAATGCATAACCTAGCTGGTGAGGTCCAGGACAGCTGGAGTCCAACATGGCATAAAGAACCAATGACATTCGAACACACGGCAGGTGAAGGACGAGCCACATCAACAAACAAAGATCTGCAAAGTTATTGCCACTGCACATCACCATTAATGCAGCCCATCACAACATTTATTACGGCAACACCTCTCCGTCGGAACAGGACCCCCTTACCCTGAACAAGGTAAGCTACAGCATAGACTTTCGGCGAGGAGGGTAGGTCGGAAGGGACAACGACATGATTACCAAAGGATATAAGCAAACGTTGAAGACAAGAAGAAGGTTAAG